CAAGCGCTGTGTTGAGTTCCTTGTTTGCATCCACAAATACCATTTGTGTGCCATCTCGATCAATTACTTTGTACAACCGAAGTTAAAATTAAGCAGTAAAGAGGTTGAGAAGAGTATATAGCAAAACTACTAGCGATGTGATGGAAAAAGTTAGGACAGAAAGTGAAGGTGGCAAGGGACATAAATGCATATCAAGTTGCTGAATTATATTGCACTGCTGATGTAACATGTTATGATCATGTAAAATACCTTAAAGTTGTTGTTCTGTAAAAGCAAGTGGTTTTTGGTACATGGAAATGTACCATTAAATATGTCAAACATTACATAAAGCTTGTAAGATTTGGGTCTCAAACACCCTCTCCAACGGACAATCTGGTCCTTGAATATAATAATCAGGATCTTTACACATGGAATATATCCAGGTAATGACAAATATTCTATGAAGAGGAATTTATCTTGACAAATATCCTATTAAGAGGAATTTATCTTTTGGCATAATTGGATGTACACTAGCTCTGTTACATTAATCTCTAGACTTACCTGTTAACAAGAGAACTTTGTTCGCTTCTAGCCCTTGGTGATTGCTCGAGCCATTCTCACCATAAAGCACAGACCCTAAATCACCCTATGTCCAATTTCCATGACATTAGCTATCATAAAAGAAATTAACATAGTCAAACCCAGAAACATACCCACAATAATACAGTAAGAATATCATTGAATATGAATTATAAGTCAATAACTTTTGCAAAGGCTTAGTATTACTTCAGCTGTGCCTATCAGCTGATCACCCTCAACCTTCATTCCTGCAACTAAGTTCCATATTGTGGTTGAGTAATTACCTTACTTGAAAATAAAATGAGAGTCACATCAGAAGAAGAGTGGAATTGTGGAAAACTTGGAAGGAAATCAGCATCGCCTCAAGCCTTTAGATGTAAGAGGAGAATGTATTAGCAGGCTTATTGGGAAATATAAAGAGTCATTCATCGTGTATGGTGGCAGATGAATTGATAAACCTGATAAGGACTCCATTAGCTGCACTGAATCACTTTTAAATTGATTCGAGACCATGGGGAGATCTATTAAGTCGGAGTTCAGGCCAGAACATTGACAGGCTTCAAAACGTGAACCGTGTCTGATCCGAAACATAAAAGTTCTAGCACAGACCTGTAGATTTTCAGCCAGGCCTTCAGGATATGGGCCATACTTACGATAATTGCTGGTTTAATTGACCAGTGAGGATTGCTTTTACTAAACTATGGCCTATAAATTACATTCTTGTTTGCGTTTCAGAGCCTGTGTACTGTTAATCAAACAATATAGATGACTGCATGGCATCTGTTTGGTTCAGGAAGAAATTTTAAGAGTCAATTAAAAAATATGAGGTGATATTCTGTATGGCCATTAATATGTCCAACTTGTAAATAAGAAGAGGTAATTGCATTGAACGGTGAACAACCAGAGTCTACTACTCACTACATCAAACAATTTCCATTAATGAAACCCGGGAAATCCATGCTCGGTGAATGTCTTGCTAGAAGATATAATTTCTTGGAATTGAGGTTTATTCTTTTTTAGGTAGGTATGTAATTGAATGAGAAATTTCTTTACCTGTCCGATTTCTAACTGAAGTGGATTCTCTGAAGAGAGAATGGATTATGGGAGTGTGTGATTTGAACTACCGATGTATGATTTTATCCGCCATGTTGGAATTTCACAACCAAATGTGTCTCCGCATCCAATCACCATGTAAAGCCCCTTATATAGAACTGAGTGAATGTATTGTGTGGTCAAGGAGCTTTTATTTATCAATTTAGCTTTGAGCAGATCCTGCATATATCCCAACGTCAAGTGGCCAGGCTGTTGCTTCTGATCCTCTTCAATTTGGTGCTTTCTTTCAAGTAAGTATTGACATTTCTTGCAGTACTTTGTGCCTTTGATATAGGTTTCTCCATGGGTTTCTTAGTTTGGGAGGAGAATGTTGTTTGGAAATTAATTAAATTTGTTAATCATGTGCCTGACCTCTCACCGCAACTGATGTTACTTCTGCAGCTAAATTTGGGTCTCTGATATTGCCTCATCAAAGGGACGGTAGCCTAACCTTCAATCATTATCAAGCAACCACTTGTAGAATTGGGCAGAGGCTGCAATGGCTGATGCCAGCCCAAGGACAGATACATCGACGGATGGGGACACGGACGAGAAGAATCTGAGGGTGATATTTTATTCTCCGTTCTTTTGTATTATGTAACTTGTCACTCCTTTCTTTTATGCTATGAAGCTTGTCACTTGGCCTCATGCCTTTTAAAACAGTTATCTGATTACGATATTTGTTTACCTTTTATTAGTAGAGTTGAAAATTTCAGAAGTACACCACTTCATGACCCTGTGCACCCAATGTATTATTGCAAATTAGTTCCTTTTATTTGGCACACCCAACATAGTTATCCTCATTAGAAACACAGGATAGTCCCCCTGGAACAAACTCTAACACTTAGCGCTACTAAAGATGAAATGACATATAAACACAAATACATCACTGTGCTCTTTGTACAGGAGGCTTGTTGCACTATTTGCAGACCTCATAATTAAGTATGACAATCAACATATAGTGTGTGCAGTTTTAGGCATTAAAATTAAATTCTACTTCCTTTCATCCCAAAGGAAAAGGGACTAAGTAGATGGATGTCAGAATAACAGAGTAAGACAAAAATGTGTGTTGGTGCTGAAATCTGATGAGTCTAAGAATTTATTCTTGATAATAAGACATGATAAATAAGGAAAGATATAATTATCTACATGAAGTTCATGCATCCAGGGCACCTTTGCCAGTTTCCGTGGATTGGGGAAGGGTTTCAATAGAGGGTGATGGAAAATCGATATTCTGAGAAACTGTATTCATATTTGAGGGCAAAACATATACTAAAGAGCCAGATGGAGCTGCACATGATTAATCACATCAATTTTGCTACAATTATTTCCTTGTCTTATCCTTCTGGTGGCTCCTTAACTTATGTATCTACGTACCGTAGTCCTTACTACTATTTAGTCTGCTATTTGCTAGTACTCAGCTTTCTGCTGTTTTTCCGGTGACATTTAATAGCATCAGCTATTAGTTATCTCTTATCATGATGGATTTTCCTACTTTGGCCCTAAGCAGATACCCTTTTGCTATGACTTTATTTTTCTTGGTTTGCCTTGATGTGTGTGAATTGGTAATTGATTTAATACAATTTTCTAAAGTCTTTCTATGTTTGGGTTCCTTCATTAATTTTTATAGGATAATGACAACTTTCCCATGGGGTTTGACTTCTTACATGCAATTTTATCACCGTGCAGTTTGAACAAGGACAACTTGGTATAGCAGCTTCTGATTCCAGTGACAGATCGAAGGACAAGACGGATCAGAAAGTAATTGGTTGATTTTTAAAGCATAATTATTTATATATAACTTAATTCATTCTTATCATGCCAATATTCGTCTGTTTTTCAGACACTTCGTCGGCTTGCTCAAAATCGTGAAGCTGCAAGAAAAAGTCGATTGAGAAAGAAGGTAAATTTTCTTGTATTAATTCTGTTTGTAAGTTTATTTTCCATTGTAAGCTCTCACTTGGTTGAGTGGATAAAAATTGGCAGATATAGGGCTTTATCAAACTTGAGCCACCTAGTAGTTTTATGTTTGTATGCATGTTAATCCACATGCTTACAAATGCAGATTCACATATGTAGCTCAGGGTTTTAAAAGTAGCCCGATTTTATCGATTTATCACCAATATATAAGGTTTGCGACATGGCCGATACGATTTTTTCAAAAATTCATCGCATATCGTTTTTGGCCGATTTGTCTCGATATATCGATGTAAATCCCATAAAGCGGCTGATTTCTCGTGGGCTAAAAATCACCCGATTTTCTCCACAATTTACATTGTAAGCGAACCAGTTTGGATTTGAAGGCAAAAACACTCTTTTCCCCACATCCGACTCATATGCACCAAACAAAAACCATGCGATCCTATTCTATTTCACATCAGCTCGTTGTGTAGTCCTAATTCTCTCCGCCTTCAATGTTCTCTCTCCCAAATAGCTTGCATATTTCTCATTCAAAGACCTCTATTGATGACCTCTCTCGAAAATACTCTCGATATTTCATTAAATGTGCTTAGATTACAATTTAGGACATTATATTATATATGTTCACCATCTGATATGACACTCTGATTTTTACTACTTATCCCCGATATATCCCCGATAACCGGGATCCGATATAAATTCTGGCCATATGATATATTTCCAATAACCGATATTTAAAACCTTGATGTAGCTAAATCAATGATAGCAGTCAAAAAGAAAAAGTAATATATGGTTGATGATATTACATGATCTTTATTAATTGGCCATCATGAGTTGCATGGGTATTCGTATGGGTACGGGTGTGGAGCAGGTTTATGTTTGTATGCGTGTCAGTGGACATGCTTACAGATGCTGATTTACATATGTAGCTAAATCAATGATAGCAGTGAAAAAAAGAAAGTATTATAGTTGATGATATTGCACGATCTTTATTTATGGTCATCATAAGTGCAAGGGTACGGGTAGGGGTATAGGTACACGTATGAGACACGACAAGTTTGTAAAAGGTGGGGTACGAGAACATGGCTGAAACTCATGGAATATAATCGTAGTTCTGAGCTATATATGTTGGGAATCTAGTGGACTATAGACCATGATTGAAGACTCTTAACTTTTAGGGTTCTGCGAAAACCTTAACTTTATGGCAAAATAATCAAGAACAAATGACAATCAAAGAAGATTTTATATCGTTCAGCAATATGGCTACGTCCATGGGAGAAGGGGGAGATTCCTTTATTACTTGAAGAAGGTACATAAACACTTTCCTCTTATTATTATCTCACAAAAGTTATCACTCCGGCTTCTTGTCAATCCTCGCAAGAATAATAACCTTCCTCTTGTAAATCCTCACTAGAGTAATCTTCTTTCTTCTTCCTCTTTTTGACCATTTTCTTCTCATATCACAATAAACCTCTCAAGGGGTAGTTATAAATTTCTTTCCTCCTATTACGAGTTCATGTAACATTCCATCCTTTGACGTACCGGATTCCTTTCTCAATCGTAGTCCTCTTATAATTGGAATTTAATTCCAATTGTAATTTTCTTTCTAGTCAAATCCTAATCAAATTAGGATTGTTTCAACGCAAGCCATATTCAACAGTATAAGTAAACGACTCTTTTAAATCATAACTCTTAAGGCTGAAACGAACTCGACCCTTATCCAACAAGTTACAAAAATGTTTGTGTAGGAAATATCCAAGATGTGTATGGCAATTGTTTTAAATTAAACATGCGTCGTATAATTGAGTGCATGTCTGAATAAATATATGCAAGGGGTTTCCAATAAGTGTTGGGTAGCGGTACGGGTACAACGCGTGTCGGGTACGGGTATAACAGGCTCCGTATTAAAAGTACCCTGTTAACATAGTGGGCATGTAATATAAAATTTTTTAAAAGCAAAGATATTTCTGTCCTAATAGGCTAGTTTTTTTATGTCTATCTTACAGGTGAAACCAGAATGGTAGTAATGCCCCTCCTTTAATGATAGTCCACCTTATCTTACCTACAATAAAAGGTTTTGTAAATGGGAATGCGCAGCTTGATTGATTAGATTACATTGTCTATTTGCTTGAGTTTCACTGGTAAGTTAACATTGTTGAATTTTCATTAGCATTACTATTGTTTGCTTTCTGAAATAAGTATAGCCCCTGAACTATTTAGTTGTACTGGTGGAAATTATTAGCAAGTGGATGTGTTCTTGATTGAATAGCATTATAGCTGAAGAAGTTTGTTTCTCATGAACCACTTTACCACAAGCTATCAATGTTGAGTTCATTTCCCCCCCACTTCTGTGATGTGTTTTTGATGGCGAATTAGATGCTAACCTAAGGTCTACTCCACAGATTTGCTAAGATCATAGGTAATGATTGACTGATCTCTACCAAAAGCTATGATATAGGATTGGGGTCTTATAAGTTCACTTCGTTGCTGGTGCGGTTCATTCTTCCAATTTCTGTAAGGAATTCATGGAAGAAAGAGGGGTTTCGTCCCATAGGAAGATTAGAGGCCTTTTATGCATATGAATTTAATACTTGGAAGAGAGAATAGTGTCGGTAAGAGAGTCATAGTCATTCACTGGTGGGTTTTTCTATGTATTAAAAAACATCAACTAGGAATATCAATGCACTGAATAAAATCACGGCATCAAGTAGAAGGAGATAACGATAGCAGCTTGCTTGTCTGCTTCTGAATCCTACGCTTGTCTATCCAACTGCCAAGTTGCATTGAGTACTGGTTGTTTTCTAGTTTGTGACTTGCTCTGTTTGATCAGTGGGGGCTTTATGAATATATGTCTACTATAGTGTGTTTCAGCTTGAACCATGTTGATCCCAAATCTGTCGGCAGTCCTCTAACATGACGAGTGGAAATTTAGAAGGAATGAGGTCTTGACTGATTAGAATTGCTGTATAGTGTAACTGCTCTGTTTGATGATTTCCTGTATTTGCAGGAGCATATGATCATGCATTTCATCAGTTTAGACTTTAGAGTGAAGACAGCTCACTTCTATCTTTAGTTTTTTAGAGCTTCATAGAGGAACAGGATCTGTTATTGCTTGTTTTGTGTGTACACAAACATGCATGCGTTGCGTAATTTGTGTGTACACACATGCATGCATGGAGATGCTAGATATGAGCTGCCATCTCATTTAGCAAAATGATTAATCATCATATAGAAGTTGTTAGAGCCAACATTTCGATGTGACTAGGAGGGTGAGTCTAATCATATTTCTATCTATTGGTAGTTCGTATAGCAAAATGAGTTGTCACTTCATACCCATCCCTCCATATATGTTATGTATTGCATAGATGATAATTATGACTACCACAAGAATAGCACAAGAATATTTAGCACTTCTATCTCCTAATTGTATTTTTGATCATACTCTAAGATCTCCACTAATATTAGTCACGCTTTTCCCTGAGTTCCTACATGTTTGGGCCTAACTAGGGTATCCAATATGTTTACAACTTTACACAAATTGCTTTGTTTTTCCTTTTGATTGTGTCATGGATTTCCTTTTCATTAGTTTCAGGATGTTTCATTTGTGCTCCTGTAGCTGTGTCCAACACTTTCTGTATCTGTGTCCGAATCCGACAACTTGGACACTTCTCGAGTATATACATATATTTATTTAGACTTGTACCCAATTATATAATACATGTTTTAGTTTAAAACACTCATGATACACTTCTTGGACATATATCTTATACTGAACCTCAAATTTCTGCAACTTGTTGGGCTCGGGTCGGGTTCGTTTCAAATGATACCCAGTTCATAAGTATGATTTTCAAGGGTCGTTTGGATATCTTGTTCAGAAAGAAGCGGTTTTTCAATTTATAATCCACTCAAAAAAAGAAACATAAAATGTTATAAGGATTTTAGTTCTCATAACATGTGAATAGTAACAAAATATTGATCTCATATAATTTATTAATTTCAATGTGTATATATATATAATCGTGTCCACGTATCCTACCTTTTACAAAATTTTTCATATCACATATCCGTACCTATGTCCATGTCTGCACCCGTAGCCGTACCCGTGCAACATTGGTTTCAATTGATCTGCTGTGTAATTTTCTTTTAGCCTTGAACTTATGTCGGAAGTTCTATTTTTTGTTATCAGTAATTGTTATTTTTTCAGTTTTTATCATGACTATTTTTGTTTGTTCTAAAGTACCTGCGTTAATAGTTGTTTTTGCTTAAAGGCCTACGTCCAACAACTAGAAAGCAGCAGACTGAAGCTTACTCAACTTGAGCAGGAGCTCCAACGTGCTCGGCAGCAGGTTTCTTAAACATCATAATCAGCGATCACCTAGTTCAATTTATAACTATGCTTATTTTGATTCAGCAATATTCGAGTATATAACATGGTTGGATTTATTTATCGTGAATTCCATGGGCAGGGCATTTTTATTTCAAGCTCAGGAGATCAGGCCCATTCAACTAGTGGGAATGGTAATCCCTAAACCTCACACCAGTATTTTGCCTCTCATAATTTGGTTGGTCATGACTAATCCAAATTTGACCCTCAACATTATCAACTCTTAAAATTAATCACTTTTAGACCACTCTTAAACCTAATCATCATTACTTTTATCTAGAATTAAGATAGAATTAGACTATTGTTTGTACATAATTTGTGTAAAGTTCTGTTTCTACATAATTGGTCAAGTGGGTTGGTTGATCTTTAGTTTTTCTTGAGGATGCATATAAGCTCCAAAAATAATCAGGAAAGGAGAAGTATATTATGCTTATAGTAATACTAACTAGTTACTGATCATGGTAGTTAGCCTCAACATCTTTTATTAAAGACCTCAAAAGTATTATTTTTCTCACATCTTGAAATTTCTGCTTGGGTTATTTTATATGCGTACTCTGTGTGGATTATGTTGGATTTCAACGAAAAAACTGAAATATCAATAGTTTCCTTCAAAGATTTCAAATGGAGTCATTGATTCATATAGCTTTCAAAGTTGATTTCAAAGAAAATTTGGCGGTTTGTCTACTTCTTTTCTCCTCTCTTTCCAATTCTATGTGAAAGATTAGTTCCGAAAAAACTGGAAGAAACTTCACTTGGTTTTATATTGTTTCATTCCCAAGAAACTCTAGCACATTATTGGCTGCTTTCGGCTGAACCACAAGAACTAAGCAGGCAGACAGCTTGGCACATGCCGGTAGTGTTGCAACTTGCAAGCATGTGCAGATTGTACCATTATGGGATTTTAACTTTTTTTCTTTTCTTTTTTGCTTCTTTAAAGTTTGACTTGATTGATGTGTTTTTAAATTTTAATTAGTTCCGTCTGCACTTGGACATACAATTGGCTATGCTTGATTTGAACTGGTATGAATGTTACTGTGTGATCTTTTCAGGAGCCCTGGCATTTGACATAGAATATGCACGGTGGCAAGAGGATCAAAATCGGCAAATCAATGAGCTTAGAGCAGCAGTAAATGCGCATGCAAGTGACAGTGACCTTCGAGTTATTGTTGATGGCATAATCGCACACTACGATGAGATATTTAGGCTAAAGGGTATTGCGGCTAAAGCTGATGTGTTTCACATGTTGTCAGGCATGTGGAAGACACCTGCTGAGAGATGCTTTCTTTGGCTTGGAGGTTTCCGATCTTCTGAGCTTCTGAAGGTGCGCACATTTACATTCATCCATTCACTGATTTTGGACATTGAATCATTTGGTTATCTTAAAAAGCTAGTACCTATCTGGCACAGTTTCATGATGAGGCTGTTATAGTTAAGAAATAAAGGCCTCGGGTATTGCTGTAGCTGCTTAGATTGCCTATCCAATGCCCGAAGAGGTGCAATGATTCTGCAACGTTGGTGTTTGTGCTCCCAACGAATTTTCTGCCCATACACCGAAGCATAATCAAGGTTCATTAGCTGAAACAAATTTAACTAGGGTTCATGTCAGAGTGGCTGTTTATTAAATGAGCATGAAGGGCATCAAACCGCATGTCAACTAAGATTGTATCCTTGAAATTCTCCTGTTAGCAGATTCGGGGTCTGTATGAGTTTGCAATTTACAATACAAACCCCACGAAATACCATCTTGGAATTTGGATTAGTTTGAAACTTTAGGAGCACTTGCCTAGGGCTGGAGGATTGGTCTTGGGGTAACGCCAAACCCACCTGATTTACAGTTCAGAAACTTCAAGCCAGAGCCAACCCTTATTTATACGAGCTACTGGAACCAACCCTGGTAACCCATGTAACAAAAGGTCAAAGCAGATAATACATTGGATCGGGTTGATCCTGTAAAGGGAATCAAATGAAGGATTTAATTCCAAATAATAAGTATACTTATAGCAGTATTTATGCAGCTATGAACATACAATTAATTATGGCCTCTAACCACTATAGCTATTTTATCTCCTTTCTATAGAAACTATACCACATATTTATTTATTTACTATTTTTTATTATAATTAAGTATTTAAGTTACTGGACCAAGGGCCAAAGCCTTGACCGGTCTTGTTTATTAAACATGTCATTTGGATTAGCCCCTTTATGACCTCTGTCCGACCTAAGTCACCTGATTTATATGCAGTGACCTGAAGTCAGGTTATCTTTTCGGGTTTGGATTGACACCCTCAGGTTTGCCCTCTTAGTCATTTCCTTGTGGAAACATAGCGTATGTGTCCTCTTTGGTCTTGTGAACCCCCCACCTCCGACATCCCATACCCCCCCACCCAAAAAAAAAGCCAAAAAACAACAAAAAAGTAAAAAAAGAAAAAGAAAAAACCAAACTAAAATGAAAGACACTGTCACAACCACCAATCAAAGCAAGATTAGGACTTCCCATAACCCACCGTGATCATTTTCTCGTGTCCTCTTTAGTCTTGCATAACTTTAAATATTAATAAAGTGAAGGAATTCATGGAACTGATAAAAATTGTCGTTATCAAATACGACATATTAAGGCTTTATATTTTCTATTATCTTTTGTGTTTTCCAATTTTTATTTTTATGACAAAAGTATTCCCTATACATTTATACAATGGCTCCAGCATATGTTCAGGCTCATATGCTGCATATTTGGTATGCACCAATATGTCGAATTTTGATGCACACACTTCTTACAACATTTTAGATGTTTAAAACGTGGCAGATTTGATAAATAACCATGGCGTGCCAAACATGATGACGAAGTTAAAAGAGTCTTGGCTCAAATTGATAAGGTGCTGAAAAAGGAAATTTTTTATTTAACGAACTTTGCCTTATTGCCCTGCTCCATTTGTGCAGTATGTGGATAGTTGGGAATTTTGTTGGGTTAATGTCTGATTTAACCATAAGATGTCGGTCATAATGCTTTTGTTGGACGATGCGTAATGGCGGATGGAGAACCCGCAAATGCAGTACAAAAAACTGGCATATGTGACCCTATAATACAAACACTTGATAAATTTCATAATGGTCCCGGTATAGAGCTCTTGTTCACTGTACGAGGTCAATATTATGAACAGACTGCCCACAGAGTGACCTCTCATCTTATAGAGTGACCTCTCATGTTATTCACGCATGCGTTATGATCAGGATATTTGTCCTAAGGTTTTTGCGAATGAACAGTCTTATAGGCATTGATTCATCGATCTTCTTTAGTGGAAGCACATTATAATGCCACTGTGAAGGGTTCCCAGGATATTCACTTAAGCTCCCTAGAATTACAGGCAAGTAGAAAAACTGTGCAGCCTGACATTGGCTCATATCACATTAATGCTTAAAAACATCCCCAACAACTGACTGTTTATGTATCTATGTGTGTGTATGCATGTCTGCATATATGCATGTGTCCCTTTGCATCAATTAGTGACTAGCTTAGCTACATGAAGTATGATCTGACCCTAATGGGAGGTAGGTCTTTTCAAAGCTTTCCTTACCCATGGCTTTTATGTTGTGAACTTTCTCTAGGATTCTATAAAAAACTTTTTCTCCATCTTTATTTTCTCAGATTCATTTTGTTCAACTTTTCTGATGCCAGCTACTTGCAAATCAACTGGAGCCTCTAACTGAGCAACAGTTAGCGGGAATATGCAACCTCCAACAAACCTCCCTACAAGCGGAGGATGCCCTTTCACAAGGAATGGAGCAATTGCAGCAATCCTTGGCTGAAACATTAGCGGGCTCTTTAGGGCCCTCGGGTTCTTCAGGAAATGTAGCAAATTACATGGGGCAGATGGCAATGGCAATGGGTAAGCTTGGTACCCTCGAAAATTTCCTTCGACAGGTACATATAATATCCTTTCGTACTTGGAATTCTTGACATTACTATTAAATATAGTAGGTAGGGGATGCTATCCTATTGAGGCCCTCTGTTGTTTGATATAAGTAGATAGGTGATGAAGACCTTGGACTAACACGCAACTCCACCTATAAGCAACAGTGACTGTGCTGATAGCTGATAGAGAATGTGCTGATCAGCAGTGGCGGATCCATGATTTCTGGAAAGTGGTGTCACCATAAAATTACTAGTTATGAAATTTGCATGTTCCTTTGCATGACCCATGGACATTTTGATTCATCTCTGCATAAATAATTTTGTAATGTGAGAAAAAGGACTATGTTTCTCTATTTAAGTCTTTAAGAAAGTAGATTATGTTTCTTTACAAGGACCATAAACATTTTGATGCGAAACGGGGGGAGGGTCTATTAGAATCAGCAATTTAAATCGAATAATGCACCGTCTCGCCAAAATTCATGATCTTCGGTAGGAAATTAAATTTAAAACAACTAATGTGACTGATGGATTTTAATAAGATTTGCATCAATAATCATGAACAATTTCAATCTCAAGCAATATAACCGCTATATTCATTATCATTGCGCAAGTTCTACAATTAATATTAATTGTTTAACAGTCACAAATTCAGTTACTCTCAACTCACAAATTTAATCAAGCTGTGAATATATGATAAGAGCTTAGAGATGATATACCCATGCAATTAACTAATAAAAATGAGTTCCACAGAAAAATAATAAGATAGCGAAACCATCGTCGGTCTGAACAGACTCGACATGAGGAACCTCCGGAGGTGGTACGATGACGAACTGGATGACAAGGGCGTGTGGACTGAGCGGCCGCGGAACACGATTCAAATCGGCGACGAATGATCGTGGGTTGGAAGAAGTTTGACGGTTATGAAGTTGAGGATTCCAACCCTCTTCAAGTGAACCCACGAACTCTTCTGTAACTTGGATTTGCTAGACAAATTATAGAATCAATTACTTGATTGAGAGTGTTCGCATCATCTGCACCAACTTTGAGTTTAGAATAGGACATGACATCTGCACTTTGACCCACTTCACATTTAACCAAGTGAAAGATCCACCAGCTTCTTGAATAGGACATGACATCTGCACTTTGACCCACTTCACATTTAACCAAGTGAAAGATCCACCAGCTTCTTCAATAATATTTAAAGCTTCGCACTTTGACCCACTTCACATTTAACCAAGTGAAAGATCCACCAGCTTCTTCAATAATATTTAAAGCTTCATTAATTAAAGGCTGATCAAACAAATGGCCATTGAGAGATACCAGTGTACTACACTTCCTGCTGCTAGATGACACATTCACAAGATTTGTTTGTGGTTTTTTTGTGGGGCTGTTCAGCATGGGAGGAGAGTAGGAGGGAGAGGGCGTTGGGGCTGATGGATGCAAGGAGGGGGAGGAGCGGTCGGTGGAGAGGAAGACAACCAGTGACGATTAGGGTTTCTTAGGTGGAGGAAGAGGAGGGAAGGCGTTAGACTTGGGTTAGGAGATGGGACGGAGAAGGGCAGGGTATGGGTTTGTTCGGATCTGGAGGGAGAGGAGGACAAGGCGCTGATGGCTGTTATGGCTCCGTAGGGGTGAGCGGTGGGTTAGGGCGCGACTGCAAAGAGAGGAGTTGGAGGGAGGAATCTGGCGGTAGGGTTTAGGGGCTGATGAAGAGGAAGCGGTCAGCGGTAGGTTTGATGGTATGCGGTTCCGGCTGCATTTGTGGAGGTGGAAGCTGCTTGGCAGACGCTCTGAGCTTGAAGGCTGGAGGAAGATGAAATAGCCGATTAGCGCGATCCACCCCGTTGATGGAGTAGGAGAAGGCATGTTTGTCGTTTGCGCTTGGAGCCTCCTTTAAAGGGAAGAGAGAGTGAGTGGCTGTGCAGAAAGTAAGGCGACGAAACATGGAACCAAAGTGGTAGTCTAGGGTTGCACACCCTTCATGGTTTCACACCAATTGATTAAGCTAACACAATAATTCATTTCATCCATTCCATTCTGAATTACAATAGGGTTTAAATAGAAGAGAATAAAATCTCACACGTTCAAATCCCTTACAATAAATAACTACCAAATCTAAACCTAATTTGAAATTCAAATCTAAACAAAAATTCAAAATTCGAAATTCGAAATTGACTACTAAAAACTGACATAATTAAAATTCAAATAACAAATATGGGATTGTCTTTGTTGTTCTCATCATTCTCCCCGGATGGGAGAAAACTCGACTCCGTCGAGTTAGCTGCAGAAGCTTGCAATATTCAATATAGTCTGCATGCATTTTAATCTGTCATCAGTTATTTTCCTGCATCTCAAATCATTAGCTAAGTTGCATTATAAATTCACCATCTAAAATATTATCAAAATTCATTGCAGCTTGGGTGGTAAGGTGAAAGAACTCTCAGAAGCAATAGGCTAGGGTCAGACTTATTTCAGTGGACTGCCAATAAATATTGTGAACTGCGTAATCAATCAATATTGAAAATAGAACTATGACTAAACTAATAATATAAATGTTGCTATTAATTAGTTCAAGAGTTGGAAAAGCTTATAAATACCATGTCAAATCTTAAACAACTATAAAAGAAACTGTTTTGGACAAGTCCAAACCATCTCAAATATCATCATTAACAGTTTTAAATTATGTCCTGACTTCGTATTATACATTTCAGTTAACAATGTATTTATTCAAATTAGATTACTAATTCCCCAATATATGATTAATGCAAATCAAAACAAAATGATGCAAATCAACTCAAATGACTATGTATGAAATGTAGACTCGAACAATGTGATCAATGACAGATGTAACTCAACAAAGTGTTTAACATGTATGACGTCTTCTATCAAATAGAATAATTAGGCGTTCCTTCGTTAATATGAATAACAAATTTCCTCTTTTAGCAGTGATAGGAAGGAACATGCAAACAAATGTATGAATGAGTGTTTTTGTGTGCTTAATATAGGAGAAAAAAGAAATGAAAATACTTGTGCTTAAACTTGTGTCCCTAATCACTATATATTTTCAAAATGGATCAGTGTATGTGTGAGTGATTATCGGGACAATGCATAAGGGTTTGACATTTGATATGGTAGCTATTTTACTATGCTCCATTTGTGATTCAACTTCCATACAAATATCTGAGTGACTTACTTTAGGAACCGAATCAAGAACATGTTAGGTGTCATGTTGGTCCGGGAGGACTTCGTGGGGAATATCAATAACGTTTTCAGTCACTGAAGTGAATTCAGGAGGAGTTGGAGTTTCAATTTCAGGAACAGCTTCAGGGACAACATCAATGAACTCCGTGATCAAAAGGGTAGCTTGGGGAATAATCAGAGTGTTGTCATTGCATGAAACTTCTGTTAATTCCACAATTGCAGGGGTAGTTTCAGAAGAAATGGAAGTGTATGGTTTTTCCATTTTACTATCCCGAAATTTCTTACCAGAGTTAGATTCTATCAAATCTGCGGCATGATTAACAGTTTCCTTAGTAAGAGGTTTTGATTCCGTTATAGACGGTTTATTAATTCTAACTCTGAACGGGGCTGTATAAATGCTAGCGACGTACCCATATCCTTGACAATTGTAACACTGAATTATTGGGCGAAGTTTGGAAAAATCTCTCACTGACTCCTTTCCCTTAGGGTCGACTCTTGGCTGGGAAGAACTAATGTTAGGCCAACTTGGAGGTTGACTAGAGGTAGTGGCACGGGAGGGCTGACCTTGATCTTGCGGATACAGAGTTGTAACATGCGCTTTTCCTAGACTAATGCGCATCTCGTTGGTTGCATCTTGGAAGGCCTGGGCTACGACACCTAGTTGTATTTTTAGTTCATCGAATTTCTTAAGGAGTTCGGGAGACAGACTAGATTCACTAGTCGATTCACTTGACTCTCCTATGATAGACCTGTGCGATTAGGCATGCACTAACAATTAACTGGGATGAGTGGGATGCATTGACAACTAAATGAAATGAATGAGATTTTTTTTAATATCAAATAAAAGACTCAACTAAAATAAAAATAAAATAAAAAATTTTTCCTAACCTAGAACCATGCTTTGATACAAAAAATGATGCGAAACGGGGGAAGGGTCTATTAGAATCAGTAATTTTAATCGAATAACGCACCATCTCACCAAAATTCATGATCTTCGGCAGGAAATTAAATTTAAAACAACTAATGTGACCGATGGATTTTAATAAGATTTACATCAATAATCATGAACAATTCCAATCTCAAGCAATATAACCGCTATATTCATTATCATTGCGTAAGTTCTACAATCAATATTAATTGTTCAACAGTCACAAATTCAGTTACTCTCAACTCACAAATTTAATCAAGTAGTGAATATATGATAAGAGCTTAGAGATGATATACCCATGCAATTAACTAATAAAAATGAGTTCGACAGAAAAATAATAAGATAGCGAAACCTTCGTCGGTCTGAACAGACTCGACGTGAGGAACCTCCGGAGGTGGTTCGATGACGAACTGGATGACGAGGGCGTGTGGACTGAGCGGCTACAGAACACGATTCAAATCGGCGACGAATGATCGTGGGTTGGAAGAAGTTTGACGGTTATGAAGTTGAGGATTCCAACCCTCTTCAAGTGAACCCACGAAACTCTGTAACTTGGATTTGCAAGACAAATTAAAGAATCAATTACTTGATTGAGAGTGTTCGCATCATCTGCACCAACTTTGAGTTCAGAATAGGACATGACATCTGCACTTTGACCCACTTCACATTTAACCAAGTGAAAGATCCACCAGCTTCTTCAATAATATTTAAAGCTTCGTTCGTTAATTAAAGGCTGATCAAACAAATGGTCATTGAGAGATACCAGTGTACTACACTTCCTGCCGCTAGATGACACGTTCACAAGATTTGTTTGTGGTTTTTTTGTGGGGCTGTTCAGCATGGGAGGAGAGTAGGAGGGAGAGGGCGTTGGGGCTGATGGATGCAAGGAGGGGGAGGAGCGGTCGGTGGAGAGGAAGACAACCAGGGACGATTAGAGTTTCTTAGGTGGAGGAAGAGGAGGGCGGGGGTTAGACTTGGGTTAGGAGATGGGACGGAGAAAAGCAGGGTATGGGTTTGTTCGGATCTAGAGGGAGAGGAGGATAGGGCGTTGATGGCTGTTGTGGCAGAGGAGGGGTGAGCGGTGGGTTGGGGCGCGACTGCAAAGAGAGGAGTTGGAGGGAGGAGATCGTTGTGAGTCGAGAGGGAAGAGAGAATGCTGGCTGGAGAAAGCCTAGGGATTCACACCCTTCATGGTTTCACACCAATTGATTAAGCTAACACAATAATTCATTTCATCCATTCCATTCTGAATTACAATAGGGTTTAAATAGAAGAGAATAAAATCTTACAAAATAAAATCTCACGCAATCAAATCCCACCCAATAAATAACTACAAAATCTAAATCTAATTTGAAATTCAAATCTAAACTAAAATTCGAAATTGACTACTAAAAAATGACATAATTTAAATTCAAATAACAAATATGAGAATTGTCTTTATTGTTCTCATCACGTTTCCTCTCATTTCCACTCATTTCTCAGAGGCCCTAGCATTAAGCGACTTTTAAGTTCATGTGTTTTGATCATTGTAGGCCGTGACAGTGTTTAATTTCTTATAGGGGGTTGAGTTTTAGAATGGGACTGGAGAACACATATGATGGGATGGATCCTATGGCAAAGTGGTGTCACGTGACACCACTTTGCCATTAATGTTACACCACTTAGCCCATATATTGATCTGCCCTTGGCTGATAGCTGATAGGGAACTCATGCACGTAGATTCGTGTGAGTCCATGTTTCTGCATCCCCTATATCCATATATGATTTTCTGTATATAACCATTTGTGATATTCTACAGATACCCTCTATATATGATTTTCCCCCTCCCTTGAAAGAATGTTAATTGCTATTTTTCCAACTCTTCAGGCTGATAACTTAAGGCAACAAACTCTGCAACAAATGCATCGAACATTGACCACTCGACAATCTGCACGAGCACTATTAGCCATACATGATTACTTCTCGAGGCTTCGGGCCTTGAGTTCTTTATGGTTGGCTCGGCCACGAGAATGATGAATCAATTGATTCAACTCTACCATGTAACTTTGATCACACGAAAGGTTTCTAAGCATCCACTTGATCTCCTGGACTTGCTTAGTATTATGTCTGAGAAATGGAATTGTTTATCTCAACATCGAGACCTACAGTGTATCTCCATGTAACTATGTGTCGTATGGGTTGTCTTCAACTATATGTGTGTAAAAATCCACTCGTGTAAGTGAAAAATGTTGTTGTAAGTTGGTAAATTAGTTAGATGATGTAATTTTTTATTTAATTTTAGCCATTGAACCACATGATTGGAAAACATATCGGAATTGCTTGTTTACATGTTATGTTATCCGTTCAGCACTTCCAATTGTGATTCCAAAGGAAAAAAAGCGCAGCTAAATTCAACTTCAGTACTAATGGACTACTGGTCTTTATTTCAGTAAAGTTTTAGCGTGGGCTCTTTTATCTGGATGCAAATTGGAATCTGACATGAGTAAGTGCGCTTGTTGTTTGTCTACCCTGCAAAAAGGTAACATGATAATTCCTCGCAAGTGGGCTCGAGGTAGGGCTTGGGGCCTTTGGGTCTTATTCCGTGCTATGACATGCTTATTCCTAATTTTTAATTATTAGGCATTTTAACATTTGTGCTGTTCACCTAGGTCTAGGGCGCGTAAAGGAAGCCTAGACTCTAGGATTTACTTGGTAAGCTAGCCAAAAAATAAAATAAAAATAAAAATAAAAGGAAACATGATTAAACAGATGCACATGGTTTGTTACAACAATCATAATTGCATGATACTTTGTTCAAGTCTATACTGGGTATGATAATGGTCTTTTCATGCAACAGGTGTATTGTCAGCCAATATTTCATAAATTCCACATGACACATTGTGCATAATAGATGTTTGTATATTCGCATATATTTTTATTTTCTGTTCTTTAGGTTTTTTTTTCATATCTTAGTTTCTCCAATACAATGTTTGAACTTAATTGAATACTTAAAATTGTACCAACTTACGATCTTTAAGATCACTGTGGGATGTTGGGGGCACTGAGGATAACATGTTCTATTTAAGAATTAACCAAGAAATTTATATTATACTATATACTAAGAGAAACATCCGTAATACAAACTTCCGTAATCCCTTGAAAGGCTGAAGCTCAGCTTGTAGGGACTGTAGATCCATTGGTCTCCTTAATGTAGTGTATAAGATCATTACAAATGATTTGACTTACAGACTAATGAAAAATATATCGTAGTGGTCGATCTTGTTCAATCAGGGGTTGGTTAAAGTTGATATATGCTCGAAGGGGTGGTAGCAGCTCAAAAAATAGTATCTGATTGTTTCTAAAATTTAATTTTAGGTGGTATTCCTTAAAAGTTAGATTTCACCGAAGCATATGATATCTTGGACTGGGGCTTTGTTTTAGATGTAACAAGTGCTAATGGTCTTGGAAAGATGTTTTGCTTGGATGTTACAAGGTAACGGTCTTGGAAAAAGGTGGATTGGTTAGATTTCAATTGTTTGAGAGGGGTTTGCGTGCCACTACATGGATTGTATGTAGAAGAGGATGAGATATCCCCCCTCTTTTACGTGCGCTGGTAGCTGATGTGGTCACTAGAATGCTAAATATGATAGCTAGTTCCAATTTAATTTACGTAACGGAGCTCTGATATTTCTTCTGAGAGAATTTTGAGTTTTCAGTTCTTGGTGCACGCACTATTGTCAACTCGATGCAGTACTCACCGTCGAGTGTTTGCATCACAATTTGTGCTAGTCCATGTGTTTGCATCTCCTATCTCTCTATCTAATAGGATCTCCTCACTCTTCCTTGAAAGAATTTTCATTGCTTTTCGTTTTACTCTTCAGGTTGATAACTTAAAACTCGAATATTGGCCACTCGACAGTGTGCACGAGCACTATTAGCTGTACATGATCACTTTTCCGGCCTTGAGCTCTTTTATTGTGGCTCGGCCACGAGAATGTGATTCAATAGATCCAACTCTACCCTGTAATTTTGATCACAAGAAAGGTTCCTAAGCATCAGTTTGATCTCGATCCGAACTTGCTTAGCATCGTGTCTCAGTAATGTAATTGTTACATCAACACTGAGACCTGCCGTGTATCTTTCATTTAATCAACCAGCGGGCTGTTTGGCTACGACATTTGTTTTCTGGATGTTATGAAATTTTCATAAATACAAGGAATCCATAAATTTTGAAAATTTCATTTTATTTTTTGTTCGGTTTCTAGAATTGTGGAATGTCGTTAGTTTTGAAAAGAAATCCTAGAGATTCTTTTTTTTTTTTGAAAATTGATTTATGAACCAACTAATAATTGGTTTTGTACTTAAAAATATGATATAATGAAATTTAGTTATCATATATACATGCTACTCTAGAACAATTAAAAGTAGATATAATAGTAAGTAGATTTTTCCTTATTTTTTAAAATTTTATTTTATTTTTTAAATATGATGGAGAATCCGCATTATACATATTATATTCATATACCAGCACAAAAACCTTTCTTTTGAATGTAATTTCTGACAACAAAAAGTTCTGAGGTGGCGCACACTACCACTCACGTTCGCGTAAACTTTGATCTGACAGAAACTTCATCGTGGGGCTCGCTTTATGCGCAAAATCCACTAGAATATTTATGAATTCAAAATTACAAAACAGCCCCTACTTGTTTTTAGAAGAGAAATGACAAATTCGCCTGTAGGCATCACCATTTTTTTTATGAGGTTTGCTTTGATACTCCAAAAATAGGTTTTTTTTTTACTTTTTAAATTGACAAAAATAAAAAAGTAACTAAAATAAGAAATGGTATTTTAGTCTTTCAAAAATCTCTTTCTATCATAAACGCAATCATTCTCTTTCTCCCGTCCCAGTTCCACCGCACAAAAGAAAAAAAAGGAAAAAAAAAAGAAAAGAAATCAGAGAGAGAAGGAAGAAGCCGAAGATTAACAACTACATCATACTATATAATTAATTTAAAAAAGAAAAAGAAAAATAAGAGGTACCTTTCATGGCGTTCTCTTTCTCTTCACGAGATTTTTTGGAGGCCGACCAGTTTCTTCTAATGGAAAGTGCGGAGAAAAGCTTCAGTTTTAATAGTTAATTAAAGAATTCTATTTAATGACAAATTCTGTTTCTTCCATAAATTATATTTCCTAAAATAATTTTTTTACCCATAATTAATTATAATTTTGGGTGTGGAACGCCTCATAACCGTCAAATCTATCTACCTAAAATTATGAGAGCTATTTTTAAGGAATTTATTTACGGATATGCCATCATTGCTCCAACTAATCTCTATGGAGTACCGAAGCTGTAGGCAAATTATATTTCCTAAAATAACCTTTTTACCCATAATTAATTACAATTTTGGGTGTGGAACGCCTCATAATCGTCAAATCTATCTACCTAGAATTGTGAGAGCTATTTTTAAAGAATTTATTTACGGATGTGCCATCATTGCTCCAACTAATCTTTATGGACTACCGAAGCTGTAGGCTTTTTTTATTACTACCTCTCAGCGGTTATAAGATTGTGCTATTGAGGATATATACTTAATACCTTAAAGCTCCACTCTCTGCTGTTTGAGGATATGAAAATGATATAGGCACACCATCAACCACACATCCTCTCCTGCTACAGTCCAGCGGACCCCATATGAAAATTTTTAAAAAATTTCATATGAGGCTTCCTACACTGTAGCAGGAGAGGAGGTGTGGTTGATGGTGTGGTAGATGGTGTGCCTGTAGTGCCCCTCTTGATGATAGATGTTACACGTAGACATTATACATTATATATTTATTTATTATGATCATAGGTTTACTCTAAGTTCAGCGTTTTCTAATAATCGTACGTACATACTCTGGTGTTCATTATAAATCAACTTGGGAAAATTTTTGCATTTGCATTTTCCTTTTCCTACTTCTAAATCTATATTTTACAAACCATAATCCATTTGATGTTTCACCCTCAAGATAACAATTTTACGGTATTTTTTCCCTTTTAGCACCCAAGAGTGCCACTAATTTCATCTCACAGATAAGCTTGTAGATATCGCAGAGGCAAAAGAAAAAGAAACTTTTATCGTTGGAGTCTCCTTTTCCTTCTTCTAAATCATACATGAGTTACACCTAGTGTTGAGTGCTGCGGTAGCTAAACAACCAAACCAACGTGCTACAAGAAATCAAATCAAACGAACATCGAGAGAAGGCCAAACGAACCAAATCAATGCCACAAACACAAACAACCAATTTTAACGTGGTTCGGCAAATTGCCTATGTCACGCCCCGCTTCCCAAAATACTCGGGATTCGGAATGTGAACAAGCCCGCGACGTATTAGATTGAGAAGAAATATACACTATTATTTTTTTTCTTTCTTTTTCTTCTCAATCCAATACGCTAAGCATCTGGAAATAAATACAATGCGAAGTCACAGGTCCCCGATCACAATCAGTAAGAATATAATGAACAACACAAAATAAAATAATACATATCACAAATAGGATAACATCCGAGACATAATATTCGGGTTAACATGCCCTTATACAAGACTATCTGAAAGAAATGCTAGAAAATATAAAATACATCGATCAACAGAATGGAAGGTGCTACAAAAGTAAATGGAGGACCAATAACTAAACTTCGGCTTCTTCTGCTCGGTCTGCAGAGCACTCTTGCGGTAATATCTTGGACGTGATGGGAATAGAGCCGCTCAATACCTGGAAAGAGTTAAGGGCTCGAGGAGAACAAGCCAAACGATTCCTCAAAAGGAAGAAAGCCGAGAGGAGTCAACTGATGGTTAATCCTCTGGATTCAGATCTCGTACCTCATGATGAAGGGGACGTACCTGCAACGGTCTTTGACGATAATCAAACGTCACAACAGCAGTCCTGGGAACAACAGGAGAATTCGGACGAGGAGCTCCAAAACGAGTACTCGTTCAAAGACGAAGACGTTCCAGCTATCTTCGAGACCCTTCTCGAAAACAACAAAATCAAACTCCCGCCCATCACGCATCTACCATATGTCTCAAATTATAGATAATTAAATATTAATCCCGATCTATATATGAAAAGAAACACAACTGACCTACATCTCACAAGAATCCATAAATCCTAACCAAAGTGACGATACCGATTCACCTTGACCCAACAAACCAACTCTAGTGGTGACACCGATCCACTGATAACAAGATATGTAACTAGCCATCCTATAACATGTCACTGGTTCACATCTCACACAGAGTCAACGCTCATATCATCGGATAACTGACTGTTCACAAATCCTCTACGTACATCCAATCCCGCTACAC